TGCTTCAATAGTGAAATAATACTATCCATTTCTCTCCAGGAGGGAAGAATGAAGATCATAAAATAAGGTACAAGTATTTGGCCTGATTTTGATGAAATTATGAAATGATATAATTAAATAGAGTGTTGTTCAGTCATCAGGTGCCACATGAAAAGGCAGCTTAGCAGTTCTGTAAATGGGCTTTTGCTATGCTAGTGTTCTCTATTCTGGCACAGCAAATTTTTCCTTCACATTTCAGTAGCTGTAAAATCATGGCCCTGCTCTCGAGAGACATTCTCAACATCAGCACTGCTGCTATGTGAGACTTACTGCTGTTTCAGCACATGAAGGATGAATTCAATCCTCCCTAAATTCAGTCCTCAAACCTACTACTCTGATGACTGCATTGGACTTATAGTGTTTCACTAAAAGATAAAAACTACCAAATTAATTAAATGGAGTTTCTGTACTGACTTAGAAGGAAATCCTGGTCAACAAGTTCTAGCTTTTAAAAACAAAAGGATATTTACCAGAGCAAGTGTCAAAGGGGAAGGCAGCCGTGCCCCAGCTGACAATGCAAATTCTCTATCTCATGTTCTACACTAATGCACAGCTGGGCAAAACTACAACCCTATATGCAACATCACTGTTGCTGTTCCTTTTGAGACCTCTTCAGTTTTTAAAACAAAGAGCAGGAAATTTCTCACAACTACTCCTCTTCCCAAGCTTACCATGTAAACAGTAATGCAATATATTCATACATAAAGTAATTATATTGGTATATATAACAACTATACACACATAGTAACAGTAACCATATTGATAGTTACTCTTATCTGAAAACAAGGGCAAAAGTGGGTTCTAAAGGTCACAGTGAGTTGAGATGAATATGTTTCCCAATTGTGGGTCAGAAAGGCACTGACAAGCTTAAAGAAGGGAGAAAAAGAAATATTTTCTTATGAGTTCCAGCAGCGCAAGTTTAATATGCAAATTACTGATTAGTTGTTTTTAAAAAGCAATCCCAGAATTTAAGTTGCTTATTTACTAATTTATCATTGATTTTCCATATTATTTTAGGTACCCTCTATGTGGTGAAGCACCTGACCTGGAATTTATAGTCATGCCACTTTGATCAGCTTGTTAAAAATTTACCCACTTATTCACAGCTAGTTTTATTTTACTATTCATAATATAGTTCTTTCTTACTCACAGATACATTCCAGAGTTAGTAAATCACTGTCAATCCATTTATTCATTTTGATTTTTGCCTAGCACTTCTTTAGTTTGATTTTAGTTCTCCTACAAGCTGCAACCATCTCTTCCATGCAAGGAAAATTACAATTGAATAGTTAATTCAGGCTGAATGAGTAGAAACAAAATACAAACACGTCACCGCAGCACCATGCTAGAGTCCTCAATTGTCCATTTAATTAACACCCCCCTGCCTATCCCTCCAAAACCAAAACAAAAAAAGAAAACTAAACAACCCCCAATCAGCTTACTAAGCAGCAACAATGCTTATACTGTAAAATACTTTCTCTGGAATGAAATTCTGTGGCAAGGAATAAATGTCACAATCAAATAAGCTTCTTCTTCTTACCGTGACAATATCTTTATGAAATGTCTTACTTCTGGCAGAAGTTAACTAACACTTTTATCTATATTAAGAGTTTTCTTTTAAAATAAATTGTATATTAACAGGTTGAAGATGCATCTTCATTGCATATGCACACAATCCCTTCCCAGTTTTACAGCTAAGCCTTCTAGGGTCTCTTCTTTTTAGACTAAATTAATTCACTTTTCTGTCAAGAGCAAAGTACAAGAAGAATGTTTTATAGATTTAGTAGACAAAGACTTTTAAAAATACAACAGTTTAAAGGGCTCCAGAAAAATCAAATGAGTGCATGAAGCCTTTCAGGGACAGAAGAAGAAGTTTTCACTTAACTTAAACAAGATTCTCAAAATAATTAAAAACAGTGCAAGAAGAAATAGAGGATAAATACAGGATTTATCTGCCATGCACACTGTAAAGCAGGCAATGCATAAGTCTGCTAGACTGCTCCAATCTGTACTGTATCCCTTTTATAAACTGTGTGCAGTCTGCACAGATGGACAAAGGGAGGGGAGACTCCAAGGTTTCATGTGCATCCAACAGCTACAAATTAAATGGCACATGAGGATGGAGTTGAGATGGCATTCCCTTGATTCCCTTAGGTACATTATGCCTGATTAACACCCTCAAACGTTTGTGTGCATGAACAACAAAAAGCATCAGCCATTTTTGCTAGAGAGAGACAGTGGAATACAAAAAAACCCCAAAACTTAAGATAGCGCGGATAGTTTGTAACGTGATCTCATTCAAATAATAACTAACCTGAGACGTACTTTGATCCGATTAACATTACCATGCTAGTCATAACAAAAATAACCATAGGCAGACTATAGAAGATACTAATGTCACCTGATGGCATCCAGGGGACGGTGTTTCCAGTCAGGCAAATCAAAAGAGAAATATATATATAAATTGCAATATATATGTTAAATATATATGAAAAGCAAAAAGTAATAAATGTAGTGACATTTGCAGAACTAAAAAAATATTATGCATAAACCCCATAATAATTCAAATCAGGTTCTCTCTGTAAGAGTTCAAGTCCAAATTCCACTGTCAGCACTATTGAGGTTGAACCCATATCTAGTATTCTCCAATCCTAACCTATCCCTAAAGTACCTAAGAACTAAGGAAAATGACATTTTGCCCCCAGGTGTTAGATCAGAAAATCACTGAAGTAAGTTTTGATAAACATATCTCTTCATATAAACTGAAGGAAAAAACCCCTAGATTTATTTACCTGCAAGGCAGATTTTTTTATCCTAATAAGATAAGCACCAGGTAAGAGCTAAGGTACTAAATCATAAAGGTCTATACTGAAAGGAATCGTATTGCTCATGTTAAATTACCTGTTTCCCTTCCCTTTACAGAATTGTTTGTAAGCCACAGTGTTAAATAAAATATTTAAACCTACATACAGGATGGCAAAAGGAAAATTTTAGCTTTCAAGAAGAAAGCGGCCACATGCAGCTTGAGGGCTCCAACTGTGGATTTTGGATTGTAGGGGGAGTTTAAATTTTGAGGATTCTTTACTTAATACTTTTGATTTTAATAGTTTTTCCAATAAAAGGGAAATTAATTGACGATATAGCCCATAAATTACGTGTTATATTATTGCTCAGGACTAAAAACTTATCCTAAAATAGTACAAAAATAAAATTTCAAATCATAGATCACAGAAGACTGCAGGTTTAATTTAATTCAAACGTGATGAAATGAGAAAGGCCTTTACTTCAGAAGAAAGATCTTATTCAGTGCCTCAAGTGTTTTCGTATTTTCTGTATGTGAACAATAGGTCTGTGTAATTCTTGACTTTATGATAACTCCTTGCTCTTACCCCCTATGGGTCAAATAGATTTTGATGTGGATATTGATCCCTCCTTTCTACACAGCAAATAATGAAGGCAAGATACAGCAAGCAAAACCACAGGATGGAACTTTTCTTCTTTGCAGCATGAGGTTATGGTATAAGAAAGTTTACAAAGTCCCTGTGCTCTTAGAATTGTGTTGTATCTTGTCTTATAGGTGAGATTTTTTCCTTTGTAAATCAGTGCCATTCTACAAGATATTGCTTGTGCCTTCCTTTCAGGAGGAAGACCCAGCTATATATTTTCCTGCTTTGTTTCCACAGTGGATTTAAGTAATGACCTTTAAATCACTATAATAATCCAGAGATGGTATGAACAGAAAAGGTCAACAAAAGCAAGATGAGCACCTAGGCTACCTGGCTAATTAATAATACCTGACCTGCATTAAATTCTGATTACCATTTGAAGGACCTTCAGATGTCTCCCATCCCATAGACTTCATCACAGCTTTCTTCCATCTGGCATAGCGATATTCACTTTCTGAAATTAAGAAGTCAGAAAACAGAAAAGCCTCTCAATACATAGGAATACAACCACAAGTATTTAAGAACCAGATACAGCAATATGAGTTTTTCACTCTTTTGCACAGTATCACTTCTTTGAACAGAGAAATAAATATAAATTCCTTTCTCGAACACAAAAATACTCCACCCTAAAACCCCATAGTTATGTATAATAAGAAGAAATAAAATAAATTTCATTCATATTCACCAGTAAGAAGATTTACAAGCAGGACAAATTTAAGCAATTGATATTTATGTAGAAACCTTTCAAATGCTGTCTTGAAGTAGGGATTTTAGAAGTAATTATAATCAAAATGGTAATACAAAATTATGTACCAAAAAATTAAGAAATAATTGAAAAGACAAAAAAGCATTTATCTTGCACAGGGATTAATTATGTCAAGTACATACTTTCCATCCCTACAAGCACTTAAGAACTGATGAGAAAGATAGCTAGCTAAAAAGCAATAATTAATGTAGGCTTTTTAAAGCCAAAAGAAGAGTACCCAAAACCAGTCCTGTTAGCATCTGTGAAAAAACCAAGTTTGCAACTCAGATAACATCAAAAGGTTTTACCCTCTGGGTTGATTTGTGGTTCAAATCGTTCACATGTGACTGCTGTCAAATCTCCAGGATTCAGACTCCAAACTTCAACACCTTCTGCAGCTCCTGCTGCCATAGCAGCTCCTAAAGCTGTAGTTTCAGGCATTGATGGCTTTACTGAAGGAAAACACAGAGAAAACCACAATGATTTTTAATGGAAGTCACACCTTGATGACATCAGAACTAAAGACTGACATATCTACCAAGATGCAACAACAAAGCAAGCTACCCAATTTGCTCTCAACAGTCATTACAAACTGTTTTCACCATTAAAAAGAAAACAGCAGCTGTAAATTAATCTTACCTACTGGAATACAGAGAATGTCTGATTGGAGTTGCATGAGGATTTTGTTATTGGTCATTCCTCCATCTACTTGTAACTGACTTAGTGGAATGCCACAGTCCTTGTTCATGGCATCTAGAATCTTAATTAAGAGTAACACATGTTACCATTTAATTGCACAGAAATGCTCTGATACCCTTTGAGTGTAAAACACTGACATTACAGCATTTGCTGAAGAGGGTTAAGTAGACCATTCCCCTCCCCTATATATTAAAAAGCAAAACAGACATAATGAAGACACGTTTTTGTTTAATATACAGCATGTACATTCTCTTCATTACAGAAATCTTTGTGTAGGACACCTTTCCCTTCAGGTGCTCTAGATGTACCCTATGTGCTGCTTATGTGGCCTGAGAAGAATTTTAAGAAAAGCTGATGAGAACATTTATCAAAGCTAACAAAGGAAGCAGCAGTAATTAAGGGAGTCCTTCAGGTGATCATCCTTTGTCTAGATACTTTCTCTAAGTTGATGGATTAAAGAATTGAAGAAGTAAAACATCTGGCAATCTGGAAGACTCTTCAATAAGAACTGAGGAATGTTGAAATGTTTTGAAAGAACAGACTCTTCAAATATTTTCAATTAGCTGTTGAAAACTGAGAATTTTATATCAAACAAGACAGAAAAAATAAACTGTTAGTGCAATTTTTGGTAAAATTATGTTTCCTTCTTTTGGGCACATTCTGTAGCTGAAAAGTGCTGAAGTGTTTCTAAGGGATAATTAACTAAGATGGAGTATTTAACTCACTGATACCTCTCAATATGCTTTTTAGAGGGTTTCCTAAAACATAAGACTTGTCTCAAACCTTAGCCGCTGGCAACACCATGGCATTACCCCACAAGCACCATTAAATACAAAATAGTGGTTTTTTTAGGGTTTTGTAAAAGCAGTCAGTTAAATATCTCATTTACATTTTGTAAGGCTAGTGCATAATTTTTATTGCCAAATTAGGCGTTAACAAGTACAGAATGACTTTCCATATTTTTTCAGTGTATTTAAATAAAAAAAGAGGCGTGTTTTTCTCAGCTTTAAATGACAAGTGACACAGACTACAAAAAATCCCAAAACTACAATGCATTCTGTCCTGTTCTGTAGCTCACAAAATACCCAGTAATACAATATTGACCAGGAAAAGTCAACATGCTATTTTAAAAAGAGCAAAAAAATTGTAGGCATTTGCAAGACAGTGAAAACTACAGGGAGATGAACTATCCAGGAGATTCTCCCAGTTTCCAGAAAGTAAATCAGCAAGGTCCCTTACCAGACAAACCTTTAAAGGAACTAAAGGACCTGCTCAGGCTAAATAAAGGTTAAAAATTACAAGGTAAGAATAGTAAGGCCAGTTTTCATGGTGGCAGCATCTACCTATAGACCTGCACTGTTCAATGCTCTAGAAATAAATTTGAAACCAGGATTCTTCCACAAAGTTTGCTGGCAGTACTATACTACATACATCACATACATAATTTTACATTTGTCTAAGGTGATTTTATCTGCCTTTTTTATCATTCGGAACTTCAGCACCACGGGGGGTTCTAGGTTTGTTTATCACTGTGTAAGAGCATGTTGGATTTGCATGCACTCAGCAGAGATTAAAATAATGAAAAGAATGCTAGAAGCCAGGAAGGGATGAAGGAACAAAACAAATCATGGTCATGCTGCTGCTATCTCTATTGTACTGAGGTTGGATTAAGAGCAAGGATCCAAGCATGCAGATTTTTCCTAATGACAGCATTGTACAGTTCTTAGAACTGAAGAATTGCTTGTTTTTTCCAAAATGCCTTCTGGAATAAAAAATGTACAAAGTGTCATCTGTCTACATAAGGAAGAAGCTTTTTTGGATAACAAGGTACTCAGAAGAAGTGAATGTCACAAACAGGCAAGAACTCCAAAGGAGGTAACGTTTGAGGGTTTTCCTGAAGACTTCCATTTTCAGTGGAATTGAAAGAACTTTGTTTCTGACAAGGAAGACTAATGATGTATCTTTAGAAAACATACATATATTTTACCTGTATTGCTATGATTTAATCTGTTCATTTAAGTGTGTCCAGTGCCTGATCAGGCACTCCTGTCATTGTGATAAAATCAGAGTGACTAAAGTATGGGGAAGTGTTAGATCTGTTTAGTGAACTTCACCCTCACTCAAACTGACAGCTTTATTCCTCTCTCTCCTTCTCCCAGCCACATGCCCTGCCTTGCATTCTGACATTTGTTGAATGCCTCTGTGAGGCAGCTGAGGTCATTAATCCAGCAGAAAAATAGCCCAGCAAAAAAAGGGATAATTTTCTGCTGGAAAGTTCACTGAGCTGTCACATGAGAGGGAATGGATGGGAGGATGGACAAGGAAAGAGGAGCAGACAACAAATCAGTTCAGTTGCCTGTAACTTTACTCTGACTTCTAATACAAGAATTAGAAAATTAGAATGCCACTTCCAATTTCCTTCACAACCTTCTGAGGACTCAGAGGCTGTCAGCACAGTTTGAAAAGCAGAAGCCTGGATGAAATTTCTGTCAATCTTTTTCAATGAGTTCTTTATTCTATGTCACTACAGAAACAGCACATTGTTTCCCTCATCTTACAAGGTTTGAGCAGGATGCTATTTTAAAAATCATTATGTTTAAATAACAGCACTTTAATTCATGTAATCAAATTAAGGCTTGACTGTTATCCTGCAAGGTCTAGGGATTTCATTTCCTCCTGTATTTGCACAGAACCCAGGGAAGGTAAACACAGGGAGGAGTAGATGGTGATATAAAGACCCAATGCTCATACTGATATCAACTCCTTTGATTTGGCTGGGGGGATTAATTTCCTCTGTGAGAATTTTGGTTGTCTGTTACTGAATGTAAGCTGAGGCACTGAAGGATGGAACAGGCAGGAAGTGAAGCCAGATTTCCCTTGGTATGTTTGCTGCTGTCTTGCTTTAAGTCCTTTTAATTCTTGTGTACCAGAAGTCACATAAGCCATCTCTGTCACAGCAGACCATTAAGTGTCATTTCCTACACTAACGAAACTTTGTAGCTATGTCAGTGGCCCTGCCATTTTAAACATTCTATGTTCTGCCCCTCAAAATAGTCACAAAATACATTCATCTTATTTTACATGCTCATAAAAAGCAGCATTACCACTCCAAAAAAATGTACCACTCAATTTTAGCTAAGTCTACAGGAGCAATTTTTCAACATTAGCAACAAGTAAAGACAAGAATAGCATCCAAGTACAATATAAAGCACATGACTATTTTCAGTAAATCTTTTAAATCCCCTCTTTTCCTGAAGAGCTAGTCCCTATTATCACACTCATTTAAAATGAATTTAGGACCCGATTTGCCTTTACCTCTCGTGTTTGAAAGCAGACTGCTTCTAGTGCAGCAAAGGCGATGTGATTTTTATTTGTAAACTGAGTAAGGCCACAGATGATACTGTTGAAGAGAGAAAAAAAACCAGTTAGGACACCCCTCTTTATCAGACATAAACCTATACTTCACACTAGGTCTTCTAATTCAAATCTCATTCAGTTCCATTGTATGGAGACTATTTTTTAATGTTAAAAAGCTTGGTGTTCTTTAATGTAAACTGTCTTGTTTTCCTGACAAGGTGCTTTCAGGGTCCAATCAATATAGTTGCCATAAATCATCTGTACACATACACAAACACCTCCACAAATTCTAGCCTGTCCTTAAGAAAAAAAACCCAAATGGTATGATTGAGGTTGATTTCTCTTTAAAAATACTATAAATTATCACTAAAATCTTAATAAATTCTCTAATGCTTTCAGCTCTTAAGGAAAAGCCCATATGGGTCAGTGCTGTTCCTTAAATGTTTGAAATTGTTTTCAGATCTAGTCTGATCATTAGTTGCTTCTGTATCTTCAAAGAGATTTTTAGTTATGGGAATTATGCCACATCTAACCATGAGTAAGCTGAATTCTGCCAAGGTACTCTGAATGCAGAGCAGATAATCATGTTTTATTCTATTTCAACAGCTGAGAAACAGCATGGTACTATAACAGAAATACTGCTGGATACATGCAAGTTCAAAGATATTAAAGGACATTTTTCATTGTTACCATTCCAAAAATCAGTTTTAAGCCATTTAAAAGCTAAGCACCGTGATATGAGACTGTAAAAATGTCTAATTCAGAGATTTTACTTTTTCCTTAAAGAAAAAGATACATACAAGAAGCATCTGAATTCTAAAGATGCAACATTTTAAACCTTGGGAACAAGTTAGATTTTAAGACTTTTTTTCCCACTCTAGGAAAGTTTTATTTATAATTATATTTGTTATGCTTCCATGACTGCCATGGCAGTGATGTGGTTGTGATTCCAACAACAATAGGCAAGCATACAACTACAGAAAAGACAACTGAAAACCTATTGTTTGAACTAGTACCAGGTGGTTGAGTCTGAACTATCAGGAAAGGGACTGGAAAAAAAGGAGTAGAAAAGAACTTTCAATAGACTGGAAAGCTTTCACATACCTGGAAGGAATGGTATTTGTAAAATTATTAAATCCCCCTGCAAATGCAGCATTCACTCAGATCCTTACCCCCTTGCACTGGGTTCCCAGTATGGTGCATACAGTCCTGAAAATGCTGGCACAAAGTAGCAGCCATAAGAAGTTCCCACATCTGCAGCCAGTTTTTCTAATGCACACACAAAACACTTACTTAGTTTTTCATAACTGTTACAACAGTTTAACACAGCACTTAAAGGTGTTATTATTTAAATTAAAAAAATATTCAGGATATCTTAGGCAGCTACAAACATAATCCAGCCACATATACAACTAGAAAATACAACTGGCAATACAACTAATGCTGGCACTCTGCTCCTTGTTAACCAGTTTTCCTTTTGCAACAATATGAACAGATGGAGCACAGGGAGTTGTAGGAAATGTAAAATGGAAAATGAAAAATTAAAACTGAAACCCAAAACTGTGTACTCAATATTCTGACCTAGATTTTGTGAAGTTTTCAAATGTTATCTATCATGTGGGTAGAGCATGCAACCTTCAAAGCAGTCCAAAAGGTCACACTTTACTTTCATTTAAGTCAAGGCAAGCAAGTGAAACTGGATCAAGACCAAAGGGAATTAAGAACTAAATTCCCATTAATTTCAAATGGATTTAGAGCTCCAAATTGTCAGCTTATGTATTTAATCACAAGGCCAGCTAGAAGGAAATTTTAAGTTTCTTGATATGAGAATAACTGTGGATATATGAACTTGTCAATATAAAAAAAATGTAATTAAAAAAATTATATTGAGAATTATATTATATTTATATATAATTATATTTAGAATGACAAAAAAGATAATGCTAATGAACAGCTCTTTCCTACAAGAAAGAAGCATTTTCTTCCTGCTTTTGCAAATTTCTTTTGTTTGCATTGATCAGAGAAACATAGCAGTAGGAAAGAAATAGAAAAGCATCTTCAAAAAGTCTTTCTAAAATGATTCTTTCATATAGACTCTGCTTTAAAAAGGGAGTGAAGGCAGAAGGAAGGACAAGTTCAGTGAAACAGGAAGAGATGATGAATCCCTACATGACTTTAACAACACTGACAAGGTTAAAGGTCCTGAAACTCAAACCTTCCAAAGGTCTTGACAAACTTGTGAAGAGGTACTGCAGTCTCAACAAATGGCTAATTTATGTGACAGTAGTTTATATTCTTCTGCATGATCTTCAAAGCTTTCTTTCAGAATAAACAGACTGATGCTCTGAGTTTTTCTGATAAATCTTTGAAATTCTACATAAAATTTTAATTCTAAATTTTCCCACCTTTGAATAAGATATCAATTTATTAAAAATATGTAATGAATTTATTTTCAATCCTAAATCTCATTAAATCACTTTTAAATTTTTGCCTTTGCATGCTTCTGACATTTTTTTTCCAAATTTTGATGTTCCTAGTTTTTATATTACAAACCAGCTTGTTTCAGTTAATTTGAATTAGAAAACATCAGCCACACAAATGCTGATTACTGCATTCTCAGCCAAAATAGATTACCCTCCTCCACATCTCCTTAAAGAGGCAACTTTGCAAACTGAGATCCCAAACTCAATAGATATGATGCCTTCTACATAACTATTTGCACTTGCAGGGTCTCAGCTTCTCATGTTTATGACAAGAATATGTAGGTTTAGGATCGAATATACGCTGGTTTCTGTAATACAGACTTAAATACTCTCGGCTCTGGAAACTTCAACACTGTATAAAACCAGGAGATACTCTGTAAGTATGTATCTTCCTGAATATCTGCTTAACAGGGAAATGACTAAACAGTATAGATTGCAACAGAGGAAAGTTGACAAAGCCTTTCCAAGGTTGTGTTGATAGGCACCATGAAATACATGTATCAACAAGAGTGAGCTCATCAACGCAAAGTAAATTTTTGTTGTGTTTAAACACAGCAAAATATATGCACCTTCCATCTTTACTTAAATATTTTGAGCTTTCATTCACCAAGAGAGACATTGTGACATTGGAAAACTTAAAAAACTGAATAATCAATACTCACCAACTTCCTGTGAAGTCTTAGCAATACCCAGATTGTCCCTCAGCCAACGAACAACAGCCCCAGCTATTGCAACAGATCCCTGAAGGAAACAGTCACTCCATTAGGAGACAACAATGGGTAGCTTTGTGCTGCCTTTAAAAACAGTGGGGAGGAGAGGTCTCTGTGGCCTCCACCTGCAGGCTTACAGTCACAGCTTGAAGCACTCCCAAGCATGCCCACAATAAAACCACAAAGTTTCTTGGCATCTAGAGACTTCCATGTAAAAAGGGCAGACTGTTACACAGACTCCAGGTAGAAAGGTGTATATTGCATGTTTTTTTCCATGAGTGGAAGTTACAATGACATTTCCTAAGCAGTCTTCTCATCTTTCTAATTTTCGTCTTCTGAATATACAGTTATTGAGGTTCAGTAGCCTCAGACTTCTTTTCCTGACACATTAATAGCTTTATGTTTTGATTTAAAAAAAAAAAAAAAACAAGACTAATTATATCTAGTCTAAATACAAACAGAAAGACAGAAAATTTAGACACCTGTACATTTGCCAGAAAGATTGCTCTGTTGCCTCAGCAAATGGACCTGAATGGCTTTATCACATCACAGATGGGTGGCATGGCTCCCATCTAACCCCAAGGCCAAGTCCAGCAGACTAAGCTTCACATAAAACAGTAGCAGCATTATATTTTCATTCAAAGCCACTGCTAGAAGGGGCAGGGTGTTTTCTAAGCAGCTGGCTATTACAGTTGCAAGATAGCAGTTTGATTAAAGGAAAAGGCTGAACCCACATTTTCTGACTCTTGCAGTGTCTCAACCAGCAGAATGTAGATGATTCTAGCATGGATATAGGACAAAGCACACTTAACAGCTTCTGTTGAAGCCACGCTTTCAGACAATATCATTAAAGACTTGGAGGTGAAGAAGAAGCAAAGTGCAGGTGTTTCAGTAAAGAGGAATTCAAATCACTCTCAAGACAGTTTCAGTTCTTGCTTTAAGAACATGGGTTAAAAATAAAACAAACCTCTCACATACCTACACAAAATAAAAATCCCAGAGTTTGCTAGGTCATAGTAAATGCAAGATTGACTTTCCTCAGGGAAGGAAAAGGAAATAAATGCAGCCTCCCACATCCTAATAAAGTACCATAAGCCACAAACTATTCTCACAGTGAAGAAAATCCTGTGTTGCCTTTATTTCACATGGAAAACAGAGTCTGTCTATAAAAGCTCAATATCACCATTCAGTATATGTGTTTTGAGAATAATTATTATAATACAATACTTAGCACATTAAGCAGCACAGATGGAAGAATAATCATTTTGTTGTTCTAAACAAATATTTGGTGCCAAATAGGAACTCAGCTGATCTGTGCTTCAGAAGAATGAATCCAGAAGTTTAAGCATAAATACAATTTTCTACAGAATTTGGATGTGCTCAGATTTGTTTGGAGAACTGAGAAACTGAATTCTCTAAGTAGGCATCTGAATTAAAGAGGTAAAAAACCTAAATTTTTAGACATTTTTTTTTTCCCAGAAATTCGATTCACATTCTTAAAAGTTAGAAGTAAAATCCATTGGAACAAAATAAAAACACATAGCTATGCCTTTTATCATGAAGTAATAACTGAAACATTAGTACTTTCCTCTCTTTTGTAAAGCCCAATTTAGTATTAAAAAATTATGTTTTCTTTATTTATAGTATTTATTAAAGATTTAGGAGACTGAGTAACAGAAAAAATGTTTTAGCCATCTAGCTCTGAAAGTATAAATGATGCAATGAAGAAATATTTTTTATTAGATTACATGATATAGATTGGAGACATAGATAACCAAAACCACACAGAACCTTCAGGCACACAAGCACAACACAGTTACTTTCATTTCTGCACAGCTGAAGATACCATAAAAATAGCAGATAACATAAGTAAGAACATGTATCATTACAAAAAGGAAGAAACAACTGAACTTACCTCTAGTGCATAAAAAGTAGGTTTGTCTCTGCCCATTTTGTAAGCTATTGTGGTTATAAGACCATGCTCAGAAAACACAGACTAAATGAGGAAAAGGAAAAGGTAAAGCATGAACAGAGGCAAAAAATGCTTAAATAAAAACATTCAAATTATAATAAACAAGGGACCAAACTGTCAAATGAAATATGCAAAATTTAAACAAAGTAAATTATCAGTCACTCTAAAATAAACACCTAAGACAGAACACTCAGATTGTTGGTGCTAATACTTGTTTCCACAAGCTGCTACAGATCTTTCCATCTTCCTTACAGAAAAATAATTGTGGGTCTTTAAAAGGAGATTTAAATGAGAAGGAAGCCACAGTTTTGTGCTATTTATTCAACTCCAAGTACAAAGAAACAAGGAGAGAAAATGAAGGGAAGAAATAAAATAGCTAAGACAAGGAAAAGTTAAATAAAAATACAACACTTAATCCTGTCTGGGTGACAACAAGAAACATATACAAGGGAGGAGCAAGAAACTTGTCAAGAAAAGTTATGTTTCCTGTTTGGAAACTTAAGGAGGTAGAAATGGAGTCTTACAGAAACACCTTGAAAAATTGCTATTTGTATTCTTTCAGACTTCAGTATGTGCTTTTCCTTATGTCTGGCAATATAATTGTTGTTCATAAGTCCAAGAATGGATAACATACAGTTGTGTTTCAGAATTTAAATAGATTGTAAAAAAACGAAAAGGCAAACAACTCAAAGATGCAACTGACCTTCTGACCTGTGTTGCACAGCAAGAAACAACCTGTTCCATACCTAGCATGAGAGCAAAGCAAAGTTAAAACCAGAACGTTTAAATAATAACCTGTTACTGCAATTCATGAGTCCCCTGTGAAGAATCATGACACCACTTTTTGACCCTAGAAGGTTTTGCTACTGTTAACTGATGACAAAACTATCCTCAAAAAGTTGATTTTAATGCAGCCTGAAGCTGAAAAATCTAGTCACATATCGCTCTCTCTCGCCATTTTTTGTCTAACACTTGATCAAGGAGAGATATGGCTGAAAACTAAGTGTAAATTCCTGCTTGGTGGCAGTGTTTACCTACTTCAATTTAAGCTGATTATGAGAGTGATTTTATAAAATAAATATTTCACAATATTAAAGGGGAAATTTTAAGAAACTTTGTTCCTGTCACAAAGAAGGCTTTCTTTAGACATAACTCATTCAAAATTTTCTTAAAAATGGCATGCTTCCCATTTGAATACCAAATCATATATGTGTTTAATATAAAGAGTACAAATACTACAAACCACTCCAACTTACTCTAAGAAGTTATTCTCAACAAAAATATTCCTTACCTTTTTAAAACTCTCAAAATTAATAGCTTAAATCTAAGATAGGCTTCAGTTATATTTGGAAAAAGAGATAGTAAAGCAATAACAGAAACAAACAAGATAGACTAATTTGTAATTATACCCGTGAAAATCCCATATTGTGTATGTCCCTACATGCTTAATTAAGCACCTGGTTGTAAATGGAACAGTAAATCATTTCAGCAGACAGTTTTTCCTCCAACTATTGTCTGATTATATCAGTAGCCTGATTTAACTGATCAGCTATTTTAAACAAAGGACACTAAGTGGCTGAGAAACAGGAAAAAGCAAACGTAAAATTCTCCACTTGGAGTTAGACATATAAGCAAAACTAAGCACTGCAACTGAAATGGACCTTTCCCATTTAGCAAAGCTGTGTCATTCAAGTCTGTGCAATCTAACTCACCATCCTGTATTTGCTTAACCTTAAGTCACCATTTAAATGACACTGCAACTGTAACTTTAATATCTTCATTGCTTTATATAAGGGTCAAGACATGGTTTACTTTGTGGGTCAACACACTCAAAAGTTAGATCTGTAATTACACGTTAACTACAAAAGAATTTGGCAGTCACTTGAAAGAGAACATAATGCTAAATTCAAAACAGAGCAGTGTGTTTATCTTATTATTTTGCTAATCACTTACGTGTTTTTTGCTTGCCCATCTTGAAAACACATTTGCCCAACAAGAGCAGCATGCTGGTCACCCAAGCACTGAAAGTGAGAGATTTTTTTCTTTAGCAAATATCCTCATATGAATTATATATTTGACTATAATGCTGATCTATTAGTAGCACACAGTAATTGAAAGCAAGGAAAAACCTTCAGAAAAAAGCTATGCTTTTTATTACTCTTCCTTTTACAAGAACTGCAAATGAAATGTGTTGTTCTACTTATGGTGAGCAATTTAAAGAAATAAAAACTAAAGTTTACTATCTTTATAAATGTTACTAGAAAAAGTTGAGAATTTGCCCAGCATTTCTGGATTATGTATATACTTCTTTTATCTATATGAAGCAGAGCTTGCTTCCATTTCGTAATGTTACTCATCTACTTAGAGATATCAAGTTTCCAACAGCACTACACATATTCATTAAAGCTCTCATTTGTATTTCCACAGCCAGACCTTAATAGTAATAAAAAGAGCCAAATAGTGATTCATCTTCAAAAGTCTACTTCCTGTGTAACCTGAAGTAAAAACCAAAAAACTTAATTCATAGCAAGATTCACTCATCTTAAAGCTTTTTCCTGTGAAGTTATGCTTAGGTAGTTCCAGGTTGTCATGCCAGAATGGAAGTAGAACTTACCCCAGAAATTGGTACACCTGTCAAAGCTCCAGATTCCTGTTTTACAAAAAGAGAAAGAAAAACTGCGTTAGCTTTCCATGAATAGAATTGAAGGTAATGAAAAATAAGCTAAACTTTTAATGCTCAAAGGAAAACAAAGAAGGGTCATGTAAGCAACATGTTCAGTTCAGGTGCACACTTTGTTTCAGCTTAATGCAGCTCATGTCTAAACTGCTAAGAAATGGAGAGCAGGAAGTTTTACAAATATACTTTATGTGACCTCAAAAGTTTCTAGCATAATTTTTCTTGAAATAATACTATACAGAAAATGCACTTCAGTGTAATCTGTGCAATAAATGACAAGTGTAAAATGCAAAAGTGCAAAATGGCAAAGTGATTAGGAAAAAAATATAGCTGTGGTGACATCCGAAGCAAAGGCAGGTGCCTGATTTTAAGACACAGAATTTTATTAAGTCTCCTATAGGCTTTCTTCTAAAGAAATCGACCAAAGTTTTTCAGTTACATTCCTGTTACAGAATCATAAAATCATTAATATTGGAAAAGATCTCTTAGATTATCATGTCCAACTTTAACCCAGCACTGGCCAAGTCCACCACTAACCTATGTCCCTAAGTGCCTCATTTATACATCTTTCAAGCACCTCCAGGGATGATGACTCCACCACTTCTCTGGGCAGCCTGTTCCAAAATTTGACAAGCTGTGAAGGCCCTTGTTTTATCACTTGTTACCTAGGAGAAGAGGTCGACCCACACCAGGCTACTCCTACCTCCTTTCAGGCAGTTATAGAGAATATATAAGAGTGTATAAGAGTTATAGCAGCTCCCTCAGCTGCTCCTCATCACACTTGTGCTCCAAACCCATCCCCAGCTCCATTGCCCTTCTCTGGACTCACTCCAGCCCCTCAATGCCTCTCTTGTAGTGAGGTGCCCAAAACTGCACACAGGGTTTGAGGTGTGGCCTCACCAGTGCTGAGCACAGGGGGACAATCCCTGCCTTGCTCCTGCTGCCACACTATTGCTGATCCAGGCCAGGTGCCATTGGCCTTCCTGGCCCCCTGGGCACACCTGGCTCATGCTCAGCTGCTGTTGACCAGCACCCCCATGTCCTTTCCCTCCAGACATCTTTCCAGCCACTCTTCCCCAAGCCTGCAGTTCTGCCTGGGGTTGTTGTGACCCAAGGGCAGGACCCAGCATTTGGCCTTGTTGAACCTCACAGAATTGGTCTCTGCCCATTGCTCCAGCATGTCCAGATCCAGCCACAGACCCTTCCTGTCCTCCAGCAGACCAACATTTCTGCCCAACCCAGTGTCATGTGCAAACTTAGTGAGGGTATCCTGAAAATTTTATTTAATTATTTAACTATTTCCTGACAATTTCTACTTGTTTCTTCAAATTGTTTTTTGTGCAATTGTGAAAATGCATTTTCAGTAAAGCCATGCAAGTGTATTTCCAATCTGAATTTCTTTTTCTTAAGTTCCCAATTTAATTAACTGGATATAAGATAACTGTGTTTATAAATGTACTAAAAAGCTCTACATGAATCTGATGTTTAGCTACCACAGAATTAATATTTTTAGACAGAAGGGACAGTTTTTCTCATTTATAAAATACTATACTTAACATTTATTAGGCAGTAGCCGTATTTTTTAGCTCATTATGGAAAGAAATATTCAACAGTGTGGAAATTAAGACAAACACATACATTGAAATCACATTTTAGAAATAATTTTGGCAAGAACTCTAATTGTATTATCTCAGATTTGGAAACACACAGCAAATTTATTGTTCTAGAAAGTGCACTTTTTCTAATCCTTACACCAATGAAAATGCACAACATCTGAGCAGAATGGGTAAGATATAGGTGGTCAGCCTAATGGAAGCCTCTACTCACCCGGCTAGGACAGATTTTCTACAGCCAGCAAAAGGAAGAAAAAGTAAAAAAAAAATTGAAAGAAAGGGGAAGAGAAGCAGAAGTTCACATTTAAAGTGATGAGCAATTCTGTTCTGGTGGTCAGGCAGTATCTTTTTCCATTTACCTTGCTCATTCAGCTTAATACAACTCACTCTTATCCAACCTTCACATTAATAAATGTCAGCAATGACTTCTAGTGGTATTTCCATTAACACATTAGCAAAAATATTTACATTTCAGGGAAGTTAGAGTTCTATTTAAAAAAAATCCATCTTGTAACTTGTCTTCACTACAAAACACATGTATTCTTATTTAACAATAGCTCAAATCACCAGGAAGAAGAATGCAAAATCACAACATCCAGTTTATCCAATCTTGAAGTTCATTAATTACATGTCACTGTGTCAGAAGTATTGGTGCTGTGTTAAAGTAATCAAATACTCAACATCCTATACTATTATACAACAGTAGATAACAGCATACTAATCACAAATTACACAACATTGGTCTAGAAAAAGCCATTAGTCCTAGTCTATGGAATCTGTCTAATCTAAATGGATATAGTTATATTTTTATAAGATGAATTTCACACAAATACTGGGAAACATACCATAACGCCATAAATCTCAGAGGAGCTTCGCACGGTTGGAAGTATTTCCATAGGAATATCAAAGAACCTGAACACAACAAAAAATAATATATATTTTTAGTCAGTGCTAAATCAGAAAACATTTTACATTTATTTTCTTAAATAAGTTTAAGCTACAAATTAAAATACAACTATAAAGGGAACTTTTGTTTCTAGGTTTTAATCTATAGCTATGTATTATTCCACTTGTTAAAGTGAACATTAAAGTTCGGAGTAAAACAGCATATATTTCAATCTTTGAGGACATATCCAACTCTTTTACATAGAAATTCATGTTTCTTCCAACAACATCTTAATAATACATTTGTTAGTAAATTCAGATTTCAAATAGAGATACTATCATTCCAGCTGCTGTACAGATTTGATTAAGTAATAAAGAAACTATTGAATCACAACATTCTGAGTTGGAAGGGACCCACAAAGATTTTAAGTGAATGGCCTGTACAGTGATTGAACCCATAACCTGGGCATTATAACCATCATGCTCTAATCAACTGAGCCAAATTGTTTCCATGACCCAGGCCTCCACCTACAGAAAGATTCTGCTACTTTTAGTTAACTCCAGACTGTTGTAAATTGGATACCTGGAGAACAATGAATCTAAGTTAATGTCAACAGTAAAGAGAACAGTACCTGCTGATCTTAGTTTGGATAAGAGATTCTTACCTTTAAATGAGTTAGAAACTATTTAAGTAATAGCATTACTGAAAAACTGAGCTTACTTGCAGAGCTCAGGATCCCATTCCAAGGAATGAATGTTGAACAACATTGTTCTACTGGCATTGGTGACATCTGTACAGTGAACGCCTCCATTCTTTCCACCTGTCAAACTCTGAACAAAAATATCACCATTCCTCAAGGAGAGATATAGGCTTACTTCAACAACTTACAAAAAAAAAATTTCAAAATCACAAAGTTTTCACCTTGGGATTAGGAACTCTGGTATTTCTGTAACAGCTAAAGAGGCAGACCTAATACTTTCTAAAGTCCAAGATTTTTCTGAACGTGTGAGCAAAGTTTTACAGCAAATTATAGTGGTAAACTACACATAAGCATCTAGAAAAAAATATAGTGGTATAAGGATAGTAAAAGTTCCTCTTGCAAGGAACTTTACTGGAATTCAGTAGTAGCTTTTATTGACATCGTTGTGTCATCAGTGGTCATTGTGTATCACATTCACAGAGATTTACACGATATGGAAATTCATTGTAAGAAGAGCGATAATAAACTCACAAATACATACCCATATAAGCCATGAATCAATAGTCCCAAACATAGCTCTTTGATCCTCAACTGCTTGCCTGATCTCTTCCACATTATCCAAAAGCCACCGAAGTTTCACTGCACTAAAATAAGTGCTAAGTGGAAGACCGGTCTTAAACTGTAAAATACAAAAAAATAATTTAAACACCAGGCAAGAATCTTTTTCATAAATATTGTAGTTATATGTGAAAATGGTGAAAGTAAGGAAAAAAAGAAAAGATACAAAACTCAAAGAACTTACACAAACTTGTTATTTAAATAAGTACTAAGCATACAACAGACAAGTTTGAAAACATCAAAACCAAATAACCAGTGCAATAATGGACAAAGATCAAAGCCAATCTAAATGCAGTTCAAAGATCAGCTACGTGGAAAAGTTGTTTGTAGAAGGCCTGTCTTATCTAGGTTATCTCCATATGACTAGACAATAAGTAACAACAACAAAAATGAGCAGGACAACACAGGAAAGATAAAATTTGCATACTACTAGAACTTGAAAATCAAATAAGTTTATAAATTTTTGATGTCTGATTCCTGCTTATAGAAAAATATATCATATAAAATATACATAATAGTTATACAATCAGTAAAGGACAACATTAATCAAGCAATTGTGACACCTTTTTGCAAGTATTTAGTTTTCAAATTGTTATATATATATGCCCACGAAAAAAGAATGAATTTGCTCTTTATGAATGATCTTCCTAGTTCTCAGATTGGATGCAATTAATTTCAATATTAAGGCATGAGAATGGATAATACATTTCATATCAGTAAATTATTCTCCAGTTTTTTTTCTACTTGATCTTAATTTTTTGTGCAATGTTTATTTAATATTGGCTAGATTAGGTTAATATTAGCACAGGATTAGGTTTCACTATTACTCATTTAACTTTTTTAGTGAGAAATTAAAGGAGTGTTAAACATTAATTTTAAGGAAATTAAAAATTGTTGAGTCTCAGATTGATGTCTTATGCTCATTTTTTTATTATTTGACAAACTAAGAAGGGACTAGAAGCTACAACTTACTTTGTTTTGGGGAATTTTAAACACATATATCCAAAACATTGCAGCAGCTACCATTTAAGTGTTCTGGAATATCCCCTACCTTAGAAAAAGTTTTGTTTCTCCCTGGAACTTTTTTAAGAAGACGTTCAACTGTTGACTGGGTTCTCAGGTCAAGCCACACTGAAAACATGGATAAAATTAACTAGTCAAGTGATTTAATACACAAAAAGTGACATGTTCAGCCTGTTTCTATGAAACCAAAGATCTTCCCAGTAAATTCCTGTCTATGTTTACCTTTTCATGTAGTTGAAATAATACTGTATCATCATTATATTTTAAAGACACATTATATTTTAAAGGTATATTTTAAAGGTTGTAAAAATTAAAATGATTAGATAAACTCATTTGATTTAGGAGAATGAACTATTTGAGAAACAAACAGAATTTTCCACAAATAGAATATATACTTTATCAGAATATAGGAAAAGGACTAATGCTATTTTGCAGCAGATGACTGTGACTAAATTAAGAGATTAAAACAAATAGGTTGATTACTTACTATTTCTATGTAAACTTTCAACTAAAAGCTATGTTGGAGATATCAGGGTATAGCTGGGTTTTAGATAAAGCTGTTGACTACATATATTTGACTATAGAAGAGTCTTGGTTTTCCAGTCATACTATGCCAAACTATACCTAGCACCTGACATGACCTAAAAAAGCAATTCTAGACCATTACCATTTTTCAGCTGACAGTATCTGAAAAGCTAAGTTAAAAATAAAACTCTGAGTATTAATAAGTATTCATTAAGTCATCAATAAGTATTCATTACAGTTATTTAACACGATTTTTCTTTCAAGTTAAATCAACAGCATTCTGAAAATTTCAAAGGAATGTTAGGTGAAGTCAGAGCATTTTGTGCCAGGAACCCCTCAGGAACATTGGGGGTTTCTTTTGAAAAACCTATAAAGTGATTTATTAAGTAATACATTTTATGGAATAGGCTTTTTTAAACTACGCTGGTGTGTATCCAAACACACATTTTACAAAATAGATATCAAAACATCTAAGAAATTACTAGGCTAGGCCACAACCAGACCTGCACAGGAAACTACAAAAGCATTTTTTTCATAACATATTCATATTATGATATTGCATATTTAGAAAGTATCATAGTTACCAATAGCATTATAAAGAGGTTCTCCAGTTGTCTTGTCCCAAACCACTGTTGTTTCTCTCTGATTGGTGACTCCAATGGCTTCAGGACAAAATAGAAAGTATCCTTTTCAGAAGGTTTGTTTTCCCCTTTTGGGGGGGGTGAGGGAGGGAACGGAGAGGTGGAAAGGAGGGAGGAACAGGTAAGGAGAAGAGGACAGTAAATGGGAAATAAAAAGCTTCCAACTTTTTCAAGATATAATCTAGAAATATTACTTCTAAGAACTCATCTTTTCTGCTTAACCTATATACTCTAAACCTCTCTCTTTTTCGGCCAAAAACGGAGCCAGCAAGAACACTAACAGGGGAAACAGCTTTCCTAAATTAAAGTCCTAAACTAAATTTCAGAATTTCTTCATCACTTGTCTCTGTGATTTTACAAGCTTAGGTTAAGTCTACTTTGTAGATTCTGCATTGCTAATATAAACAAGGGACTTATTTTGTCATTATTCCTCCCCAAAAAACTCCTTTCAAATACAATTTAGCATTTTGTTTAAAGCTGGCACGTGCTGCCACCTTTCTATTTATTAACTTAAAAAGTATGGTATCTGAATTGCTCAACCATGAGCATGCTCAAGCCCTCTACCCATAAGTACCTCTTATGTTAGTGATGTTTATGTTCAGTTGTTTCATTTTCTCACAGGTCTTTTCCACACATTCATAGACAGAGTTTAATATTTCCATTGGATCTTGTTCCACCCATCTTTAACAAACAGTAAACACCAGTTAATAAAAAATTACACAGAAAGAAAAAAAGAACGCTAGTCTAAAAAACAAACTGAGCATTTTAATACAATTATAGTTACAAAAAGTGTTTTACATCTCTAGAAAGAGTTTTGTTTTGTTTTATTCTATACAGAGGGCATTGGCAGCAAATGGTAGGTCAGTTAGGAACAAACAAACACAACCTCAGAGAACAAACAAAGATATTTCTACGGACCAAACTGAAGACCACAATTCAAATGTAAAAATTACCAGCTTTATCACCTTAAATGAGATGTTAAGTCTCATTTAAACTTTAGTTTTAAATTTTAACGTTTAGACGTTGAATATGTAAATGAGTGATCAGAGCCAAACACCGAGTACTTTTAGTTTCCAGTTTCCGTAACTCAGGCACATTCTGGACACCCAGTGGGAGCTATTTTATGCCATTTTTTTCTGCCCAGACTTTAACAGCAGTTACTGTGCTACTAAGAATTATTAATCAGCTTCGGTTTTGATGACCCAAAGATAAGCTCTACCAAACTGTACACAAATAGAAAAATAAAAAATATCATACCCTTCTCTAGGGAATTCTTGCTTTATTTCCACTTGATGGTGACTCAAGAGCTCTGCAGTTTCTGCATTAAAAACCTGAAAACAAATTACATAATGGAATTTTCTATGAACACAGACATTTAAATGACAATAATTAACATTTTTTCTTTTGAACAAATGCAGTGCTGTGACAACGGATAGTAATTTTCTATTATCAACCCCAACATCTATATAACAAGGATTGAGATATATGCACTTTTAAAATTAAGGTAGGCAAAGATTATTTTGGCAAACTTTTTTCTTGTGGTGGTTATGGAAGCTAAACTCCTGATGCATTTTAGAATACCTCTCAGTAATATACCCAGTGTTGTTGATAACAACATTTCTTTAGCTCTTGCTGTGCCATTCTATTGCCGGGGTTATCTGTGTGTTTTCTTGGCTTAGCTCACTTTTAGGAAGAGTGAAAATCTGTGACAAAACATAGAAGGGACCAAACTGAAGAACAAGAAAGTACCTAGGCAAAACCCATTTTGTTTTAAAACAAACTACAAGTACAGAGCTCATGAACAATCTGACAAGAATGCAACTGCAGCAACACAACACATCAAAAAAGAGAAGAACAGGCAAAGTAACTTAAATTTGGATACAATACAATAAAAACCAGCAGAGTCGAGAATCACGAGGACTCTATCAATGAGTGTTCTTAAGGAATCACAAGTTGAGGTTCTGCCTTGCAGTAGAAGCTCATTGAGAATGCACAACCCTCATTAAGCAGTGTGTTCTCAAAAGGAACCTCTGCCGAGGCCAAGCTGAGGGACACACGGTGAAACATTCAACTGAAGTGCACAGTGAGTGAGCCAGAGTGCCTGGCTGGGCAGTGGTGCCAATCCTGTGGGAATGGCTCTTTCTCCCCAGCACCACACGGAATCTTTTGTGTGAAGAACGTTCTGAGATGTAGAAAGTAACATCTAGCAGCAGGTTCAGGTGAGCTGCAGGAAATGTCAGTAGGACACCATCCTACCTTTTTATGGCAAGCAGAGCTGAGCCAGATTTAGAAATCCACTTGCATGCTAAAGAAACAAAATTCACTTATACCCATCCAGCCTCTAGCATACAGCTGAATCTTTTCTATGCTTGCTAATGCTCTCTTCTCATTCCACAAATTTTAGGAATTTCTCTTAAAGCTTTTAATCCATAAACCCTTGGTATTATCTACACAGTACACTTTATTCTGAAATTATTAGGACAACTCTGACAGAAAGGAGATGAAGTTCTGATTCTCCAGTTACTTTGGAACCTTAAAGAGTATCTTTAGAGTGAAACTTGGAAGTTTAGAAACATTCTACTTATATATTAGAATTGCAGAATAGTTCACGCTGAAAGGGACCTTAAGAGATCTCTAGTATAACCTCTTGCTCAAAGCAGAATCAGCAATGAGATTAGACCAGGTTGCTCAAGAACTTTTCTAAGCAAATCTTGGAAACCTCCAAGGATGAAACAGCACAAACTCTGGAAAACACTGAAAGCTCTACTGCCCAGTAAAGAAGTCTTAAAAAGGTACACGATCATTCTTTTCTGCTATCAGCTGGAAAGATTACATAGAAAGAACACCACTGAATTATTTTTACTTTCTTTACTTATCTATGTTTCATCTACCAGCTGAGGCTTGACATGGATCTATTCCAATAAAAGAGAAAGCTCTATCAGTACTACACATTTGGAAGCAACTTGCATAATGGGATATGGATCTTAAAATGCTATACAACATGGTTAATAGGAGAGGTTGTTTTGCATGTATGCAGTAAGATTACTTGAAATTGCCTTTCTGCCAAAAGCATATTCACATTTACTAGATTTTTAGAGTAAAGACAAAAAGATAGAAGACTTCTTATTTAAACTGTATGTATATATCTGACATATTAACCACGTTAAATATCATGTGGTAACCATTCACCAACTAATCATTCAGTATTTCTTGAAACAGAAGATAATGCAAAAGATTTCTATTGGTAGCAGGAAGTACAGATTCAATTAGACAAAGTCATCAAGTGAATGTGGAGTATGTGACTTGCAGACACATCAATGAACTGTGACAGGAATACATTTTTAACTGAAGCAATAACATTATAAATGCACAGATTTTTTCATATCCATAGAGAACTAGCAAACACACTTTGCTAATCCATCACAAACAAACCCACAAGCTTCTGACATTCTCAACAAAAGCAGCAGACACTCCCTGTTATTCAGGGCAAGGAATTAAAAGGCTTCACTGTGAGCAATCCCTGTTTGAGATCAGGTTGCATGTGGCCCTGTGCACCCTGGTCTAGTGGAAACTGCCCCTGCACATGGTGGGGGTGGAACTAGGTAATCTTTAAGGTTCCTTCTGACCGAAATCATTCTATGCCTCTATGACTTCTACACTGATAAACAGAATTCTGATATTTGGAAAGATGGCAGAAATTAGTCACTAAACTTAAACCTACAAAATTATAAATAACATAGGGAATAACTAGAACAAACGGGACCTCAAAGCCTTTCCCACTCCCTCCAAAAAAACCACTACTGTTGCCAAAAAAATCCCCTACAGAGCCCCTGTTTAACAGTGGAGAGATAGAAAAATAAGTGACAGTAAGTACAAATAATTCAGATAAGGTCAATACATCCCTGTTAAAACAGGGTTGAAGTGCATTTCTATAATTTCTTGGGACTAGAGGCTTTCAATCCATTCATATTCATTAAGAACTGATTCCAGTTTATACTACTGATCTCTTAGTTGTGTGACGAGGGGAAAGCCAAAGTCAAATTTGCCCTAATTTTATCAGCAGTCATGAAGAATTGTCTAGGTTTTTTGGACTTGAACAGCTGTCTTGAACGGAGATGAAAGTGAAAGCCACCAGATATGTACTGAAATCTCTAGTAAGAGATTAAAGAAAAGGAATAAACAATATCCTCCCTCTACTCCCAACAGAGAATTAGAACTTGAGCCTTGAGTCTCAGGACTGCAGAGAAGAAAAGCCTACATAGGTGTCCTGTATGTGAACATGCAGAGAGGCACAGGGACTGATCACTTAATTCAAGCTTTTTATATGGTCTTTAATATAATGCATCACATCCCATGAAGGGGTACAGTTTCATACTATTGTGTATTATGTTCATGTTTTGTTATCTTAGTGGAAAATTCATATCAATCAATTGTAACAATTTTGAAGGAATGAACAGAAATATGAAGCTCATGGAAGTGATGCAAGAAGCTGCACAGCTGAAAAGACAATAAAACCCCCACATTTTAGAAGTAACTTTTCACATCTCTCAAGCTTTGTGATGTAACTCTGTCTACAGAAAAGCTATTTCTGCTATTCTATGCTGTATCTTCATGAGTTTCTGTCAGGCTGGATCAGCCATGGCTTTGCAGGCAAACAAACTCAGAGCTGGAGTTCTGAAATTGCATTGAAATTAATTCAGCTGAAGCAAGGATAAGAGACAATAATTCCCTCTCTAGTATTTAACTAGGAGTAGCACCATCAGAATTTATGAATAAGTACAGTTCCACAAGTCTCCTAGCAATTACCCTTCTTGGAAGGCTCGTGATGAACAGATCTCCCTCACCATCTAGGAGCTGCTTACAATTATGGGATTTAAAAGTAAAACTACACTTCATTTTAAGTGATAATAGCTAGGGGGAAAACTGTATTTACAATATATTTAACCCTTCTTGCTAGTTATACAATCAAGTTTTTCTCTTTCCCAAAAGGTCATGTTGCTCCAGTAGAGGTGTAAAATGGATTCCCCTCTGAGGAGAATGTGCAGGATAAAGCTAACATTGCATAGAGCTTGCACTGTATGTGTGCTGTGTGAGAGGCAAGGCTAAATAAGGAGCAACAGTAACAGAAATGCTCCTGAGTTCTGGTGCTTCTTTAGCTTCTGCGCTCATAAAGCCTTCTCATTCACACAAGTAGGAGAAACAAATCTTGTGTCTGTGTACAGGATAACTTGCTGCTCAGGTAAGCCTAAATTTAAAACTAGGCTGTTCAGAGTCTTTGTTACTCAGGCACTGAGTATCTGCAAAGATGGAAATTCCACACACCTTCTCAGCCCTAGATCCGCAGCCCTCATAGTGAAACATTGTTTCTTTACATCTATTGGATATTTCACTTGCAGGACCTTGTGTTCACTGCCCATTGTCTTTCCTTGTGCACGTCTGAGAAAAGGCTGGTTCTGTGTTCTCCACAAACGGTGGTTAGATAGCTGAGGACACCTCTTAGTCTCTCTTGTGAGGAAAGAACCTCTCATCTTCCAAACCCTCCTTCCATGGCCTTGTCCTGCAGCAGAGGGGTACTTTTCTTTGGATGAAATCCAGTTCTTCAAAGTCTCGTCCTCTGCAGGGTCTAACATCAGACACAGTGTTGCAGGCGCTGTCTCCTAAGTGCTCCACAGACGGCAACAATTACTTTCTGAACTTTTCACAATTCGCACCACCGCAAGAACGCATTGCTCACATATATCCAACTTGATGTCCAGCAGGAATGTGTCTTCTTTCACTAAGCAGCTTCTAAGCATTCTGTCTCAAGAGCTAATCTTTGTTAAGCTTTATGAATATTCTGACAGGCCCCTTCTCCGACTGGAATTTCAGCCAGCTGGTCACCCCCCTCTGAGAGAACATCCCAACCCATCCCCACGGCTGTTGAAAACACTATGAGCTATCAGCCCTCACTACTGACCGCTATGGACACCTCTGGCAAACCTGCCACGTGTAATTGTGAATTTACACTCTGGACTGCTGACACCACTCTTTGGCCCCATTGGCCCAGACAGTTTTTCATCCAGAAGAACTCTTTGACCCAGTCAAAATCATATGTCTTCCACTTTAAAAAGTAGCTAACAGTTGCACTGAAGTACTGAATACAGAAGTGCAAATCAAGCAGCAAGTTGATTTTGTCTTGTGACTTGGTGAAGACAAAAACTGTCGGAAACACTACATTTAAAAAGAAAAAGTGAGAAATGTAACCGAAACAGCTAAAAGTAAAAGACCAACAGAGCCAAGGAAATAATTTGGGCATAGACAACAATACATTACAATCTGGTTCAAAATATTTCAAGGCAAAATCTCTCTTCCAACTGCAGTGATCCCCTTTTAGCACAGAATTCTACAGATGCATGTGCTGTTATCTGAACGACTGAGGTGAGTTGTAGATCTCTGCACATTTTGCTCTCTTCTTTCCCTCTCCCCTGTGCCCTGATCTAACTCAGCGATCATGTATCTTATCTGCTCAAGCCCATGTAGCTTTATTATCACAATGACATGATCACACTGCCAAGTTTAAGACAATGTTGTATTTTGACATAAACTGAAAGACACTGAGACAGATACAAGAAGAATTTAAGAGTGACAGATACAATATACTTCTCGAAAAAATTAGGAAGCATCTGAATCCTCTTGTAGACAGGCAAAATCTCCCCAATTGCATAAAAGCCATCGATGAATGTGTGTAGTGTAAGAAATTCCTCCTAAAAGGAACTTGTAAAAATGCTTGTAAAAAGAGCTTAAGTTTTACTTCTACTAGTGTTATCATCCTTTTAGGAAAAGAAAAAAGTTAATTTGGCATATAAAAGCAGATAGAATTTATCTTAATGTGTTACAGAGAGCTTCTTCAAGTTCGTTCTCAAAAAGGACTCCTGATTGGCATCTAAGACAGCCCACTGGTGTCATTTGTCAGTTTGGAGTTTCTCTCCACCCCCAGACTTGTGTTTTGTCACTTGACAATCGCATGAAGGTCGTGATATTGAGTAATAATGGTAACATAGGTCAAGAAGATATTCTAGCCTCCTGCTTCATGAAGGAACGTTTCACATGGGGGAAACTTTTTAAAAACTTTTTTTAAAAAAAAAAAAAAAAAAGCAAACAAAAACAAAAACATTCAGTTTCTCAATTCATACTTTGCACATTTGACAACTTTTATATCTAGCAGTTATCTCTATTCCACTTTCATGGAGGAAGTTGGCTTTAATTATGTCAAACTACCAAGACTTAACTGACTAGGGGACAGTATATTTGTAGAGATTTGCAAGCCAAAAGTATCTATAGCAAGTTTCATACATAACAGCATTAGTTACAGTCTATTGCATCATACAGAAATAACTAGATCCTTCAACTAAAGGGTCAAATATATGAGTAATATATTAATTCTCCTATCCTTAAAATTATCTTTCTTAGCGTTTAAAGCAAACGGCTTTTCACAACGTGCACAGGTTCAGCCACCTGAATGCCTACAGTGCACAAGATGCACTGACATTAGGGCTGGAACTGCAGCAGTCACTCCAGCAGGCCCCGGGCAGGTTTGAGCGGGGACACAGCGGAGTCATCGCATTGTTTGAACACCAGCTAATCACAGTCACCGAACTCGCACTGATCTATTTCCCCAGTGCCTGAGGACGTTGTTCATTTGACTCCATTCAGGGCGAGATACCCGACAGATTGAAAACCTGACAGATTGCAAACGCAGCCAGCTCGGAGCGGCGGGGTCGCGCAGTCCCTGGAGCAGCAGCAGGAGCCGCTGCTCTCGGGCTCGCCCCGGGACCGCTCCCCGCGGGACGGGCGCTGCTCCCCGCGCCGCGGCGGGAACGCCACGGACCGACAACGGCGGATCCGGCACCCCCGGGCCGAGCGGCGCCGCTTCTCCGGGAGACTGGAGGCTGCGGCCAGCACAGCGCAGCCCGGCCCTGCGGGCCCGTTCCCCCGCCCTTCCCCAAGGGCACGGCAGAGGCCCCCGCCGGGATGGAGAGCAGTAAAGGCGCAGAAGCCGCGGCGCCCCTCAGGCCGCGGGGACGCCGCCTGCCCCCGGTGCCGCCCCGATCGCCGCGCTGTGCTGTGCTCACCAGGAAGCGGGTGGAGCTGGTGCCCTGATCGATGGCTCCCACCAGCGGCCCCAGCGACGCGGCCATGGGGCCCCCTCAGCGCCCGCTCCGCACCCGTAACGGCCGCGCCAGCGCCGCGCGGGCAGCTCGCGGCCGGCGGCGCGTGGCGGCCGGGGTGAAGCCGGCGGGGGGGGCGGGGCGGGGGGCGCTGCCTCGCGCATTGTCAGCCCGCAGCCAATCAGAGCCCGGGGCGCGCCGGGGGCGGAGCTCTGGGGGCGGGGCCCGGCTCGAGGGGACCGCGAGGAGGGTGTGTCACGTGACGCGCGGCATGCGGCACGCCCCCGTCCCTCGCCCCGCCCCAGCGCCCCTGAGGCGGCGGCGCGCGGGCGGCGGGAAAGCCCCGGGGTCTCCTGAGGGCAGCCCCGATCGGTCCCGGGAGAGCCGCGGCACCAGGCCCCGGGAGCGCTTTTCGGGTCATTTGTGCCTTGAGGCGGCGTTCCACGGGCGAAATGTGTCTCGCTCGTTATCAGGGAGAGCGAAAAGAAACCCCACGCACTCTGAGGTGGGACCCCGCTGGGGAAATGCCAAGCCGGGGTATCCTCTGGAAATCTTCTGTTCAGAGCGAATACTGCCGAGGAACTGTGCAAGGCTGTGTAATCGTGGATGACCGACATATGTTACACATATTTATGATACATCTCTGAAGCGGCTTCTTTTATCTTTTAAAGCTTTACCCAACGTCATGCAACGATATTCATTGGCTTTAAAAAAATGGAATCTCGGTCTTCCTTCCTTACTTCATTGTAAGGTAACTTGTGGTTCAAGAAAAACCGCTGGTGTTGTAAGAGCCGGGATGGAATTGCAAAAGCCAACAATTCTGAATGAAGGGCCTGAAAAATTGCCAGTGACAGACGGTGCCAGTAAACCAGCACCCACAGACACCATTAAAATAGATTTATCTTTGCCATTACCCCACAATACTGGTAGTTGTTCAAATCTGGGGTGTTTTGCCGCAATTGCTCCGTGATAAGCAAAATCTACTGTCACTTGGGAATGTTTTGCGAGATACCTTACCCAACTCTTAATTTTTTTGTTTGTTAGTGCTTCAGCTAACAAAGGCTCCTCTTCGAGGACCCTTGGATGGGGCGTGAACAACACTTACTGCTTATGTGTAATAGAAGAGGATTTCATTGCAGCCCTTAACTACAACATCTGAAATGAGACAGTCTTATAAGATCCACATCCACATCTTCAAGACTGACAGTGAAGTAGCACTTGGACCGCTTGCCAAATATTGTCAAAGATTTTCTATTATTCTCAAATCTTTTTGCCAAGACTGATATCTTTTCTTTTTGGAACCTAGCTATAGTTTAGGGATCATCTTGCTCAAGAACATGCTGCAACCCTTAGAGAAGGATCCACAGAGTTTGTACTACAAGGTCATAATGATCCCTCCTGGCTTTGCCAGAGATCCCCCCCTCTACTTCCCTCACTTGTCACAGGGAGCTTCTATTCTAAAGCCCCAGCCAAGAACTGAAGTTCATTAGAAAAACTTATGCAAGGCTACAGCATCTCCATGTAGATTAGGAATTCAAGGAATTAATCCCATGGGATCTTATTTAAATCTGAATTAATTAGTATAATTCCTAGGAAAAGTGTGGGGTTTGTGTTATTTGTCGCTTTTAAAAGCTGCAGTATTGTATTCTGAGCGGATTTTAACTCAAGACAGGATGTGACAATTTCCAGCAAAGGTTGAGGTCTCGCTAGATCCAAGAAGGGAGGAAGCAATATTGTTACAGACATTTATGCAAAACATGAAATACTACTGCACTGTCAAGGATTACTGAGTTAGAGAAATTCTCCGGGAGGTGCCTTTTCTTAGGTGTTCTTTAGCAATGCCTATGAATGTTTATAGACCAGGAACAGGAGAGGTGACAGCAATAACCTGTGATATTTCCTTAAGCCTCAACAGACATTCAAGACAGGCGGAAGGAGGAAATAATTTAGTCCAAAACTAGAAAAGATTTGGGCCAAGGAGAATGGTTTATTCTTCCTAGCTCATTCAACAGTGTGCTCTCACTTCCTTCACATTCCTATTCACTGAATAGAATATTTTTTTCTTGTAGTATTTATTATGCAATACTATTTGCAGAGTAGGAATAGAGGGTACTGTCCCAGGGAAGCCTGCAGGGGAAGAAAGGGTGGAGCTCTGGCTGTACCTTCACAGTAAAATGATGTGAGGCCACGGTCAGCTGAGGCACTTTTAAACGAATTAGCTTCCTTTAAAGGAAGGAGTGTGGATATCCATGTGGACTAATTTCTTCTGCTTCTGGCTCAGATCTTACCGAGGCAAATCTACCAATGCAGCTGACGTTGTTTGCTGTTCTGTTCTCCTGCTGAAGAACTTGCAAAATGGAAAAAAAAAAAGAAAATAAAGCTCAAGTGCTAGTTGAGAGCCTTGTATATATTATTCTTGACAGAAGGAGATATTTTGGAATTTATATATATTTGCTATAACAATTTCCATCCTGGTAAAAATAATGGAGGGTCTCATTGATTTTAGAAGACTTAATTATAAGAAAGTTGAATTCAGTTCTTCAAAATATAACATTTATAAAGTTGCTGATTATTTTCAACTGCCCACGCAATGCAGATTCCTGTAAATGACGCTCTTGTTCCACATGCAGCTTTTTGACCTCTTGTTCTGTAAACTGAACTCAAATGGAAGGTTTTTCCATCTTTGAATACAGCCCCACTGCTTTTCTTTTTTAAAATATATTTTTGAAGTGGACACATTAGAAGGCATTCATTAAGCACATAAATATTTGTGGTGCATTTTTAAGATCCAACATAATTTAGTTCCTAAAGAACTTGTTTCAATAGCACATAAACCCAATTCTTTGGTTTTGGTTTGAGTTTTTTTAGTTTCAGTTTGATTTTTATCTTTAATCTCAGAAGAGTGAAGGGAAGTTGGCCGTTACATTCTGCTCTTTCTGGCTGATTTTTCTTTATCGAACTCAAGCTAAGGACAAAATGTGACTGTGTCAGGCTACTCCAAGCATGTGATACAGTGTGAATTAAAGAATGGATGCCAAAGGTCGACGTCTTTCCCTTCTGCCTCAGAGAGGGAGACAGAAAGGAAAGGATGACAGAGAGGGCTCAGACATCGAATCCTGCACTTCCTTACATTATCGGGTTCCTGGATTCCTCCAGGAGGGACAGAAGGCACGTCCTTGGGACCCGGCTGGAACAGGTGTAGTTGTAGGGTGTGCAGGGCACCAGGGTAATGAGTCACGCTGCCACATGCACCCTTTAGCCTAGTGGGAAGATGAGTGGTATGTGCGAGGGTGCCTGTGCATGCACAAGTGGATAAACGCTGTCGCTCTGACGCAGGGAGCCAGCACTAACAGGTCGTGACCTTGGCTGCCAGTGCCTCTCATTCTGTAGATCATCTGCAGCACCCGTGTGCAGGGAACCTTTCTGTGCATCCTGAGAAGAGCAGGGCAGTTGCAATGACCATTCTTGTGTTCTGTCTCCTACGTTTGTTTTGGCACACGCAGTACACTGTCACCATCTGGCAAGAACAGTTTTATTGTGAAGCCATGACTGCTGTGATGAAATGAATGTTTCGCAGGATATGTTTTACTTCTGACCTGGTATTAGACAATACTTTTCCCGAATGACATTTTATATTTAGAATCACTCTCACATTGTTCAAACCCTGAGTAATCATTGTTGCAGTTGCTGTCTTTCTGGTGGACAATAAAATAAATAAATAATGAAAATAAACTCGCATTTTGAAGACAGCTTATATGAAGTCTTTTGAAAAGCAGTTATTAAGCCAGTAAGTCTTTACAAGAATTATAGAATCACACAATGGCTTAGGTTGGAAGGGATGTCAAAGATCATCTAGTGATAATTCCCCTGCCAGTGACCAGGGGCATCTTCTACTAGACCAGGTTGCTCAAAGCCCTATTATTCAAATCAAAATGGGGAAATCAGAAAAAAACCCACAAGAATTTTGTATAGATAAAAGTAAATTTTCTCAGGATTAAAATGAATACTTCAGAGAATATAAATATTTATTAGTGGTATAGTAGCTACTCCATGCTTCAAAATCCTTAACTGAGATACTTAGTCTTCTAGCTTCCATAAAAAATTATGGCAACTTACTGCAAAATTTACTCCTGAAACTATACACTGCGTTGAAGGGACACATTAAAAATGAGTTAGCTTTCTACTGTTTTCATAACTACTGTATTTGGCTAGCTTTTTTAAAAATCAAATGAGCTAATCTAATTAATGCTCCATAAGATGATGATAGGGCCAATTCTCATAGGCTCATTCTGTACTTTACTTTAGCCTTAAGTTAGCAGAGGCAAGGCAACTGCTGGTCACAAGGGACATCTTTTCACACCTTTTTTTTTTTCGCTGAACAGTGGATATTTCAAAAAATAGGCTTATGTGAAATTGCTGCATACTATAGTAGGATTAGCAAAAAGGTAAATTGCTCTAAATAGTGATATTTGATAATTTTGCCTCTAAATCCTAGTTGGAGGTTGAAAATGTGATGTACACTCCAGGCTCTGGTTTTCATATGTAATGAAGATATTAAAACCAAGAAGCAGCAGTGGAACTACATGAAGAACCTGAGACTGTTGCTACAATGGTTTTAATTCTGTTAATCCTGCACAAACCTGAGCTCTTACATCAGGCAGCAGAACTAAAACAATGGAAGTGAATATAAAGTGCCATATGTCTATAGGGAGTACAGAAGGATAGTTTTTATTAAAGCATACTGTCAAATATATATTCTACTAAGGAAAAAACATACTTAGTAAAGAAAATATATCCCGTCGTTTTGGTTTGCTGTTTCAGTTTGGTGAAGGCCTGCTGAATTACTGTGCAACACCCTCAGATAGGAATTGTTTGTTCTCTACTGGATGCAGGAGAGAGCTTAGTAACTGCAGATGAGGTGAAGGCAGAAGTGCTTAATGCCTTCTTTGCCTCAGTCTTTAGTGGGAGGACAGCTTGTCCTCAGGACAACTCTCCTGCTGGGCTGGTAGATGGTGTCAGGGAGCAGCATGGTCCCCCTGTTATCCAGGAGGAAGCAATCAGAGAACTGCTGAGCCACATGTTCATAAATCCGTG